CTAGATAATTCCAATGCTCACAAGGCCTCCAATTTAAGTAGATTTTTTTTCTTGCCAAAACCTTACGTCAGAACCATTTGCGGTACGACCCTGAAATCATGGTTCAAAGACATTTATATTTTTTACAATTATTACACGCCGACACATTAATACTACTTTAAAATTTTAATGTAAATATTGTTCTTTTTGTTCTGGACCAATCATTAAAATTGTTGCAATGTCAATGATTTTCCTGTTTTCCCGGAAATCATTAACCTCGCCCAATATCGCCGGTATGTGTATTTACATTAAAAATGCATTACATATGCAGAATATTGAAACCAATGTTCTTGGCAACGGCAAAATGGTGGATACTTAAAAAAACATGTGTACCCACATGTCACATACAAGTGCTGTGATAAGTGTGAAATGTAACCAATTTCGATGTCGCTTAAGTATGCCAATGAAAAAATCTCTGCAAATATTGTTTTTTATATCTGCAGTGGCGTAGGAGAAAAACAATTGCGAAACATGATCGACACAGCTGCTGGGACAGTGAACTGTCAAACCGATTTTGGAAATTAAAAATGTTAAATTAAAAATTAATAAATTTTGTAAAAATTGTTAAAATTGCATATTATAACAACCTCCGATTTGTGTCGTATAAGAACACTTATAAAAATCGACCTATGTTTGAAACAAACATTTTAAAAAATTTGTCATATCAATGTTCCCAAGCTTTAATGCATCTACCATGATTTAATTTACATTATTTATTGTTGTTTTTATAAAAACAATGTTTGTTTATTAGTACAAAACGATGGTAATGTTCACCAGGGGTCTTATGTAATTCTGTGGTTCCTCTTCTATTGAGCTTACGATCTCGTCACTTGGGTAAACAAAGTTTTTATTTTTGTCATAGAAGTTATTTAAAAAAAAAATAACTTCTTGGGAGAATATCCCAGACAAAAAACCAGTAAAGAAAGACTTAAAGTCGGACGGGGTCGACTTTATGATACCCTACATTACTTTGCGAATTTATTAAAGCTCCACATAACAATTAAAAGTTTTTATGGGAGAATTCAATCATACACGCTATGATTATAATTATAATTTAAAGTTCAAAGGACTAAATATGCCGAAGCATTTGTATGTTTTATATTCGTACTTGCCTTGCCCATTTGGTGCACAATTAAATTGAAATCGGATAAAGATATATATGGGAGCTATATCCAAATCTGAACCGATCTCGATAAAATTTGGCAAAGATATTTCTAAGCTTTATTTGATATATTTCCCTGAATATCGTTGTTACGGAGTGCATATTACGGCTGTGGGTAACTAATATAACAAATCGAATGAACAGTATATATGGGAGCTATAGCTATATCTGAACCGATCTTCCAAATTTGACATACTAGCTTCTAGACTCAATTCGGTCATAAGTGCCAAATTCCATCCCATTTGGACAAATATTAGACGTTTGGTGCACAATAAAACGTAAATCGGTCGAAGTTTTATATGGGAGCTATATCCAAATATGAACCGATCTCGATAAAATTTAGCAAAGGTATTTCTGAGCTGCATTTGATATATTTCCCCAAATATTGTTGTTACAGAGTGCATATTACGGCTGCGGAGGACAAAAATAACAAATCGGATGAACAATATATATGGAAGCTATAGCTATATCTGAACCGATTTCCATCAAATTTGGCATGCTTATTTTTAGGCCTAATTTGGTTGCATGTGCAAAATTCCATACTATTCGGGCTGATATTACACGTTTGGTGCACAATAAATGGCAAATCGCACGGAGATATATATGGAAGCTATATCTAAATTTTGACCGATTATTTCCAATTTCAATAGGGTTCGTCCTTGGGCCAAACAAATGATCTGTGCAAAATTTCATCTCAATCGGATAATAAATGCGACCTGCATTTTTTTTCACAAAAATACATGGACAGACGGACAGGCTCAGAATGTGATTCTATGCAGATCATCAAAAAGAACTATGGGTCTATCTCGTTTCCTTTTGCCTGTTACAAACAAATGCACAAAGACATAATACCCTGACCACCTCGTGGTGTAGGGTATAAAAACCCTAGCAAAATACCTCTCAAATGATACCCCTTATATGGGATCTATACGAAGACGTGTTGCTTCATAATTACAAACGGAATGACAAAGTTAATATACCTTCCATATGGTGAAAGGTATAAAAAGGTAGCAATCGCTTTTATCGACAGATTTATACCCTCAGCCAATGTTCAATTTTTTAAATATATTTTGACTACTCTTACGATTATTGAAATCTACAACGTAGGTTTCGAAAGAATGGGCCAATATTGTCCATTTCGTATTGGACCTAAATGTATATAAAATAAATATTGCAACATACCAGGTTAGGGCTATATTAGTTAATCCCCTCACCTTTTATGAGATATGTGACAATTTTTAGAAAATGTCAAAATGTGCGGGAGGTACCAGTTATAGTCGACCGAAGTAATCCGTTTTTTACTTCATCTAAAGAAGAAGAAAATCGGACATTTATATCCACCCTTGTGCGAAATTATGAATTCCGTATTCATCCCAGGTTTCTGGTTGAGAGAAATGTTTAGATATTGCAAATTGTAAAGAATCGGTGACTTGTTTCGCAAGTTATGACAAATAAAAAATGTAAAATGTTGTCCCTTTGTGGGTGAGGTACAGGAAGGGGTTCGCAGATATATATCATCTTCACAACAGATCTTGTGTTAACAAAAATGTTTGTATGAGTGAAATTTGAAGAGATTTGAATGCTTATTTCGATTTCTTTGAACGTTCTGATTTTCAAAATCTTGAATCTTTATCATCTTTATAACAGATCTTGTGTTTATGAAAATATTGAAATGTGCCAAGTCTGAATGGAATCGGATATTAATTTCTCGTTTCATGAGCTTCATGGATATTCAAAATTTTGACCCTTTATCGGAGAGGTAGCAAAAGAAGTGGATTGATATATATCATCTTCACACCAAACCTTGAATTAGTAGAAGTAATGGGACGTGTGTAATATAAAGAGAAACGGATGCTTATTTCGAATTTTATGATCGTTTCGGTTATTCAAAACTTTGACCTTTTGTGGGGGAGGTACTAGAAGGAGTGGTCCGATCTTTACCATCTTTATAAAAGATCTTGTGTTGACGGAAGCATTAAGATGTGCCAAGTCTGAATGGAATCGGATGTTAATTCCGTGTTTTATGAGCTTAACGGATATTTAAAATTTCGACCATTTGTGGGGGAGATGCCAGAAGGAGTGGACTGATATATTCCATCTCAGCGCCAGATCTTGAGTTTATAAAATTATTGGGATATAGGAAATTTTAAGACAATCCGATTCTTACATCACATTTTATAAGAGTTATAATTATTCAAATTTTTAAACCTTTGTGGGGGGAGCACTTGATGGAGTGGACCGATATTATCCATTTTTGCACCTGACCGAGAAGTGAGGCAAATATTATGATTTGCAAAGTTGGAGCAAAATCGGATAATAGCTTCTCTTTCTGTGCATAAAATATATATTTTATAAATTCGACCTTTTGTGGGGGAGGTACCAGACCTTGGGTTCATAAAATTATTGGGATATGTGGAATTTGAAGACAATCGGAATCTCACATAACATTTTATAAGAGTTGTAATTATTCATTATTTTGACCATATGTGGGGGAGGTACTTGATGGAGTAGACCGAGATTGTCCATTTTCGCACCTGTCCTAGAACTGACGCAAATAATAGAATTTGCAAATTTGGAGCAAAATTGTATTATCTTTTCTCTTTTTTGTGCAGAAAATGTATCTTTTGAAAGTTTCGATCTTTTGTGGGGGAGGTACCAGAAGGAGTAGACCGATATATTCCATCTTCACACCAGATCTTGAGTTAATAAAAATATTTGGATGTGTGAAATTTGAAGACAATCGGAATCTCACATAACATTTTATAGGAGTTGTAATTATTCATAATTTTGACCATATGTGGAGGAGGTTCTTGATGGAGTAGACCGAGATTGTCCATTTTCGCACCTGTCCTAAAACTGACGCAAATAATAGAATTTGCAAATTTGGAGCAAAATCGGATTATCTTTTCTCTTTTTTGTGCAGAAAATGTATCTTTTGAAAGTTTCGATCTTTTGTGGGGGAGGTACCAGAAGGAGTGGACCGATGTATTCCATCCTTACACCAGACCTTGTGTTAATAAAAATATTTGTATGTGTGAAATTTGAAGACAATCGGAATCTTACATAACATTATATGAGAGTTGTAATTCTTCATAATTTTGACCATATGTGGGGGAGGTACTTGATGGAGTAGACCGAGATTGTCCATTTTCGCACCTGTCCTAGAACTGACGCAAATAATAGAATTTGCAAATTTGGAGCAAAATCGGATTATCTTTTCTCTTTTTTGTGCAGAAAATGTATCTTTTGAAAGTTTCGATCTTTTGTGGGGGAGGTACCAGAAGGAGTGGACCGATATATTCCATCCTTACACCAGACCCTGTGTTAATAAAAATATTTGGATGTGTGAAATTTGAAGACAATTATTCATAATTTTGACCATTTGTGGGGGAGGTACTTGATGGAGTAGACCGAGATTGTCCATTTTGGCGCCTGTCCTAGAACTGACGCAAATATTAGGATTTGCAAAGTTGGAGCAAAATAGTTTTTGAAAATTTCGAATTTTTGGGGAAGGAACCAGAAGCAATGGACTGATATTGTCTATGTCCGAACTCGATCAAATATTACGATGCATCAAGTTTGGATCAAATCGGATACTTCCTTCGAGAGTTATCGTGAGAGACAAGGTCGAGTACCTCAGAAAAAAGTCGCCATATTCAATTTAGGAAATGAGTAAACTACTATTATTTTGCCATGAACAAATCGTTAGAAATTTGAATAAGGAAAGTTTAAAATTCGATCGAGGATACCTTACAGTTACTCTTAAATCAATATCAATTATACTCAAAGTTATTCAATATCGAATTTCATCCAACAAAATCGTTATATTTGTAAAATATTTAAAAAAAAATCATTGATTTTAGGAAACAAAAATGAACTTATTTTTAAGAACGTTACGCTAAATCCGCAAAAAAATTACATAAAAATACAATTTCTATTGCTTATAATACTATCTCTGGTAATATTGTTCCTCCTCTAATTACAAGGTGGTCTTGATTACAATGCTGCTGATATCCATTCATCATATCAGCACTTGGTCATACACACACGCACCCGCTCCTTATAACACAAACTCTGTCATAGAAATTATAAAATCGTTTTCATTTAACCTCTTAAATGAAGTCAAGTGAATTTCCAATTTGCTGCTTCAACACCCCTCCACCTCCGACGACGACTTGGGCGTTTTAACCCCAGGAACGTGTACACCATGAGCCCATATTAAAACTGGCAAAACTTATTCCATTGTTATGGCTGTTGTTGTCGTATTCTATGTACAAGTGTTCATCCTCCTGCTGCTGGTCTTGTTCATTGGAGACCAGTAGTAGGTCATTGCCGGAAGGTCTAATGTCATATGCATAGTATTGGTACTGGGGATGTTGATGATGATGCTGTTGCTGCGGCAGCTGCTGCTGCATTTGATGTAGGTAAGAATGAAATTGGGGACGTGGAGGTGATGCCGCCACCAACGGCACCAGATTTAATGGCAATCGCAATGTTGATGATGACGCTGTTGCTCCTCCTGCAGATGACAGCGAATTGAGTTCATTTAAATATCTAACATTTATATTCGGATGTTGATGAAGATGATGAGTAGCCGGTGGAGCATGTTGCTGCTGACATTGCTGGCGATTGCTGTCGTATGCTGGTCGATTACTAAAACTGGTCGTTGTTTGAGTGCCATGATTGATGATGGCCGTGGTGGGGGGTTTGGAAATGTCGGTGGTGGTGGTGGCGGTGGTCCTTCTGCTTTCATAATCACGCTTTCCCTTATTGACTTTGAATGAGAATTTTTTGGCTTTCTTTGTGCTGACGGCAGTTGTGTCGCCACAGCTGTCCTCCTCTGCAGCTGGTTGTGACTTCGTCAACTTCGTCGTTGTTGTTGTTGTTGTGGCGGGTGTTGCGGTGATACTCTTGGTCGCCAAATCGGATTGACATTTTAAAGCCAGCTATGCTGACACATAATATTCTCGTTGACGCTTTTGACATTTTTCGCGTGCAATGTAGCACAGGGCAATGGTGATCAATAGGGCAATGGTTATGCCCATGCCAATGCTAACCCACATAATCTCCTCATTGATGCCAACATATGAGCGGCCTAAAGAAAATTGAGAAAATGAATAAAAAGAAGAAATTAGTTGTTGGATTTTTTTTTTTTTGGGTTATGAGTTGAAGAAATTTTCTGGCTTAGAATTGGATATATGCTCATGATATGGTGAAGATGGATTAAAAATGGAAAAATATTAAGCTTAAAGAGAGAGAGAGAGAGTTTTTATTCAATGTCATATACTCACGGGGAATAGGATATTTAAGGACCATTTACTTTTGCTAAACTGGGATCCTTTTGGTTAAAGACATAAAATGTCTTTCTTCAATGGGTGGTTGTAATGAAACTAAAAATTTATTTTAAAACCAGTAAGGAAAAGTCGGGCGGGGCCCACTACATGATATCCTACACAACTATGCATATTTAGTAGAGCTCCCGAAACAAAAATAATTTATTTGAAGTAGATCATACTACCTATCACCATTTGGTTTTAGAGCAGTTACTGTTTCGTTTCAGAGCGAACTAAAATATGGCAGGCATATCAAATTCTGAATCGATTTTCCCTAAATTTTACGGAGACATTTTTACACCCAATAACATTGCTATAGAGTGCATGATAGCACTTCAAGAAGGATTATATTGAAAAAATACAACTCGGAGCGGAATTCCACCAAATGGAATCGTACGCCCCGAAATTTAACCAATTAGGCAGATATTAGTCATTATTTGCACAATAAACCTGAAATCGGAGAAAGGATATATATTGCAGCTAGATCCAAATCTTAGCCGATTTCGATAAAATTTGGCAAAGGTATTTCCGAACTCTATAAGATATCTGGCACCAAATATCATTGTTGTCGAATCCATATTACACATTAAAACCCCAAATCGAATGAAACATACATATGGGAGCAATAGCTATATCTGAACCGATTTTCAGAAAATTTGATGTACTTGCTTCTAGACTTAATTCGGTTATATGTACCAAAATTCAGGTCATTTGGACTGAAATTAGCCATTTGGTGGACAATTAATACGAAATCGGTTGAAGATATATATGGGAGCTATATCTAAATCTGAACCGATTCTCACCAATTTCAATAGGGTCAAAGAAAAATTGGACCAAACAAATACTGTTTGGAAAGCTTCATCTCAATCGGATAAGAAATGCGACCTGCATTTTGTTCACAAAAATACATAGACAGACGGATAGACGGACTGACATGCATAAATCGACTCAGAAAGTGAGTACATGGTGAGTATGGATATCCTCAAAAGTAACTAAGGGTCTACCTCGCTTCCTTCCTCAGGTTACAAACAAATGCACAAAAACATAATACCCTTACCACTATTTGGTCCAGGCTATAAAAACTTAAAACAAACAAGCTTGATGTTTATCACTACCACACAATGACCTTCCATTCATGACCTTTTAGTTCAAATATAATAAAAAATTTTAAAGGCCCCCAAGAAGCCGCATACACTCACATACACCTAATCTCCTCTCTCACAAACAAAATTCAGGACAGCATATTAATTATACCCTCAGCCATAGGGCTAGAGAGGGTATATATCATTTGATACGGTCAAAACGTGCCACATCGAAATAACAGTTTTAGACCCTAGGTCTCTTTGGACCAAATCCGTTACAGGACATTTGGAGTCGATCTACCGATGTCCGTCCGTCCGTCCGTCTGTCTGGCTGGCTGGTGCGCACGATAACTCTCGAAGGAAGTATCCGATTTGATCCAAACTTGGTACATCGTAATATCATTATGAAACTTACCTTGAGTTCGAAGAAGGGCAATATCGGTCCACTTCTTCCGGTACCTCCCAACAAAATTTCAAGATTTTCAAAAAAATAATATATAAAAAATATACATAAGATGAAAAAACTGCTACCAACTTCAGATTTCTGTAATTTCTAAGCCCCTCGTCCGATAGCTGTTAAAGTTATTCCAATGACTAATTATATTGTTTTTAAGCGTATAAAAGCATTTTGGTGGGAATTTTCCAGACAAAAAGTTATTCGTTATGGAATTCAAGCGTGATAGTGCGATTTCTTTATATTTGGCTGGAAAACCACAAGTGGCTACCGTTAGAGCCCTCCAGCATTTAAATGTGAATAAATTTTCTGTGTCTCGTACCATCGCTCGTTACCGTGATACTGGTAGCGTAGCTCGACGTCAAGGAAGTGGACGAGAGAAAACAGCAACATCAGCAGAAATGGTTCGAAAAGTAAAGAAACGACTTGATCGAAACCCGCGTCGCAGTGGTTGAAAAATGGCTCGTGAGCTGAATATATCGCAATATTCCATTCGGAAAATATTGAAAAATGTGCAAAAAGTGCAAGAACTTACACCGCAACAGAAAGAAAATAGACTCAAAAGCTAAAGAGTTGCTTCGCTTGGCCGAAAGTTGTGATCTGCCGAATTTGGATTTCTCCGATGAGAAAAACATTCGCTGTCCAGCAGTTTGTAAACAAACAAAATGATCGCGTTTACTTGCCAAAGAGGTCAGCTGAAAATGCAGTGCACCTTCGGTTGGCCTCCAGAACTCAAGCACCGGCCATGGCGATGGTGTGAACCGCCATAACAGCCGAGAATCGCTCTTCGCTCGTTTTAATCGACCGTGACATCAGAATAAATGCCGAATATTATATCGAAAATATCCTGAAGGGTGTATTATAGCCTTAGGCACTAAAACATTTTGGCCCCAGACCTGGAACATTCCAACAGGCATTCCAGAGCAAGCGCCACCCAAAAATAGAGGTTCCTCGCTTCATTTCCAGCGCACAATGGCCATTAAAATCACCGGATACATATCGTGGGATGTTGTGTCTGGATTATTTTGGAAAGCAAGGTCAGCACTAAAAAATATCAAAGTGTCGATCACCTCAAGCAAGCGCTTCGCCGGGAATGGGCCAAAATACCGCAGAGCAACATTTGGGCAGCCTGTGACGCGTTCATTGGCCGTTTGAAGGTCATTATTCGTGCCAAAGTTGATCAATTCGAACAAATCTAAACTTATTTTAAAATTTAATGATATTTGCGAAATTTTTTCATTTTCATTCAAAGAAATTTAAAAAAGAAAAACAAGTAAAGAAGCTGTAAGTTCGGCCGGGCCGAAATTTGTATACCCTTCACCATTTGGTACAAATTTGGCAATTTTTCAAAAAAAAAAAAATAAATAAATAAAATCCGTTAAAAACCCTTTTAAAGGTACCATGGGGGTTATAAAACTTGGACCTGCACACACAATCTTCTGTCATAGGCTGTAGTATTCGTTACGAACTTCAAGCACCAAATTTGAAATAACTCTGGTATGTAATGTCGCTAAAATCATCAAAATACCGATTATGGGGGGGGGGGGGGTGGGTACCGTTGTATGGGGGCTGTACGAAGACATGACCATTTTCAATACCAAAAGTCCTGCAGACATAATACACATTTGAGTAAATGTTTATCAACTTACTTCATTTCGTTCGGAAGCTAGAGTGATTTCCACAGCCGGACAGGACATTGCTAAATCGACATAGAATTTTGTGCTGATCAAGAATATACCTTGTGGGGTCTAAACTGTATATTTCGAGGTGTTACAAACGGAATGACAAACTTAATATACCCTCCATACTATGGTGAAGGGTATAAACATGTAAAAATTATGACGTTTGACTTTGTGGCAGTTTTTTATCTCACCCTTTGGAGGTAAGGCTATTATGTCTTTGTGCATTTGTTTGTAACATGGGGAAGGTAGCGAGATAGACCCATATTTACTTTTGAGGATCTTCATTGAATCACTTTCCGAATCGATTTATGCATGTCAGTCCGTCTGTCCATGTATTCTTGTGAACCAAAAGCAGGACGCATTTATTATCCGATTGAGATGAACATTTCTAAACAATATTTTTTTTGGTCCAAGGACGAAACCTATAAAAATTCGTGATAATCGGTTAAGATTTGCATGTTACTCCCATATAAACCTTCAACATATTTCAGGTTAATTGTGCACCAAATGGCCAATATCAGTTCAAATGACCTGCATTTTGGCACATCCGACTGAATTCAGTACAGAAGCAAGTCCGTCAAATTTGATAAAAATCGGTTTAGATATAGCTTTAGCTTCCATATATAAGTTTCATCCGATTTTGGGTTTTAAGTCCCTCACAAAAATGATATTGGGTACCAGATATCTTATAGAGCTCGGAAATAACTATGCCAAATTTTAGCGAGATCGTCTTTGGATATTGGATATAGCTCCCATATATATCCTTAATACTATTCACCATAATATATAATTGTGTAATTTTTTTTTAATATTCGAAGTTAAAAAAAAAATCTGTATCTTCAGCTTCACCTGATGCAATTTTCATCTTAGAAGTAGTGCAAGCAATATCATGTAAATCACCCTTTCAATGCCTTAGGCTTGGCCATAACACGAGAATCATTTATAATTGACAAGGAAATTACAAGTGGTGCGATATCAGTTTTTTCCCCTCATTTTCCATCAAATGATGCAGTCGATACTAATATAAATAGGCCATGTGGGCCAATAGTTGTCATCATAAGTTGGACAGCTTCGTCTGGAAAACATTTCGAAACATCAAAAAAGCAAAACAAAAAAATAGTATAGTTCACGCCATGAAAGTTTGTAAGTATTTGCAAAATATTGAAAAAAAAAAAAAAACATTTAAACGATTCTCGATCTCTTCCTTTCCAAATATTAGACTATTTTATAGTATTTGCGACCATAGTGGGTCCCCAACTAATTGGGGGTCATAGCCCTGTTTTTGGTCTCAATTATCCTGTGAAAAGATCGCCAGTTGATTGTTCCTCTTGCGAGGATGGCGAACTCGTAGCCGATCGTAGCAGTTGCTCAAGTTACTATCTATGCGTTGGCGGCCAGGCATTGCGGCAAACATGTGGCCCCGGTTTGTTATTTGACTCCCGCACCAGATCTTGTAATTTGGATTACTTGGTCGATTGTCCAGTAAATCGCTATCAGGGCTATAATGACAACGATTGTAAGCCGCATGTTATTGATTATATCTGGCCTTTTGGTTCTCGCTATGAAGAATATAACAAATATATTCATCGACGACCACCGGTAGTAGTACCAGAATATAGGCCACATGTGATACGTCCAAATCCCTATGTTATGCCTTCAAATAGGGTAAACGATGAAACCACAACATGTGCACCAACGACTGTCACAACAACAAATGCACCAAGGACTGTCACAACAACAAATGCACCAAGGGCTGTCACAACAACGACCGTCACAACAACATGTGCACCAACGACTGCCCCCACTTCATGTGCTCCAACGTCTGCCACCACCCCTTGTAACTCGTCTGGTGGTAGTGGATCAGGCGGCGGATCTGGTAATGGGTCAGGAAGCGGATCTGGAAGTGGCGGATCTGGTAGCGGCGGTTCTGGAAATGGTGGCTCTGGTAGCGGATGTAGTGGTGGATCTGGTAGTGGAGGTTCTGGTAGCGGCGGATCTGGCAGTGGTGGATCTGGCAACGGAAACGGCGGCTCCGGTAACGGTTCTGGTTGCAACGGAATCGTCACACAACCACCCCCCACTACAACTTGTTCGACAACCACAACATGCCCTACGACGACACAAAGCTCGTCAGACTCTGGAAATTGTAACGGTAACGGTTCTGGAAATGGTGGGTCTGGCAACGGTTCTGGAAATGGTGGGTCTGGCAACGGTTCTGGAAATGGTGGTTCTGGTAGCGAATGCAGTGGTGGATCTGGCAATGGAGGTTCTGGTAGCGGTGGATCCGGCAACGGAAACGGTGAATCCGGCAACGGAAACGGCGGCTCCGGTAACGGTTCTGGTTGCAACGGAATCGTCACACAACCACCACCCACTACAACTTGTTCGACAACAACGTGCTCAACCACAACATGCCCTACGACGACACCAAGCTCGTCAGACTCTGGAAATGATAACGGTAACGGTGGCAGGAATAACGCCAACGTCAGGCTCAATTATCTAATGTCATACAACGATTGTGCCTCACTGGCCGATAATACCATTCTGTTGGATTTGAAACATTGCCGTCGCTATTATGTTTGCACCAATAGGCGTGCAAAACGCGTCAGATGCAGCATTGGTCAATGGTATGACAAGGATGCACATAGCTGCCGTCCACGTGCCGAGGTGACCAATTGTGTGGCAAATAAGAATTAATCGAATTCTTCACATCCAGCCCGAAGACAACGCCTCAGATATATTTCACAATGTATATCCAAACATCGGTTAGCCGACATATATATATAAAAAAAATAGTGTATCCCAAATAAACAGCAATATTATTTCAGATATTCTAGTGTATCTTACTATCACAGTCGGGGTCTGTAGAGGTACATAATTTAGCAATAATTATCGACAAAAGTGTCCCCGTATTCCATATATTAAAGGTACCAAGTCTAAATGGAATTGGATGATTATTTCGTGTTTTATGAGTTTCATGAATATTCAGACCCTTTGTGGGGAGGTACCAGAAGGAGTATATCGATATATTCCATCTTCACACCAGACCTTGGCTTGATAAAAATATTGTGATGTAATGTAATTTAAAGACAATCGGACACTTACATCACATTTTACAAGAGTTATAATTATTCAAAATGTTGACCCTTTGTGGGGGAGGTGCCAAACGGGTGGTGATATATTTTCCATCTTAACGTCAGATCTTTTGCCTTTTCTCTTTCTGTGTTATAAATTATTATACCCTCAGTCATATGGCTATATAGGGTATTTATCATTTGATACGCCCAAAACGTGCCTCATCAAAATAACGGTTTCAGAACCTAGGTATCTTTGGACTAAATCCGTTTCAGGACATTTGGAGTCGATTTAGCGATGTTCGTCCATCAGTCTGTCTTGCTAGCTGGTGCGCACGATAATTCTTGAAGGAAGTATCCGATTTGATCCAAAGTTGGTACATCATAATATTATTATCAAACTTAGATCGAGTTCGGAGATGGGCAATATCGGTCCACTACTTCTGGTAACTCCCATACAAAATGGCAAAAATTTCAAAGAAAATAGTTTATTGCACAGAAAGAGAAAGCATAATTCGATTTTGCTCCAACTTTGCGAATCCTAATATTTTAATCATTGCTAGGTCAGGTGCGAAAATGGAAAATATGGGTCCACTCCATCAGGTACTTTCCCCACAAAACGTCGAAATTTTCAAAAAAAAATATTTTTTTGCAAAGAAAAAGAACAGGTAATCCGATTTTGCTCCAACTTTGCAAATCCTAATATTTGTGTCAGTGCTGGGCCAGGTGCGAAAATGGACAATATCGGTTATTAATATCAATATCACTTTTTCTGGTACCACCCCCACAAAAGATCGAAATTTTCAAAAAAATATTTTACTGCACAGAAAAAGAAAGGATAATCCGATACCGCTCCAACTTTGAAAATCCTAATATTTGCGCCAGTTCTAGGTCAGGTGCGAAAATGGACAATATCGGCTCATTCCATTAGGTACATCCCCCACAAAGGGTCAACATTTTGAATAATTATCACTCTTACAAAATGTGATGCAAGAGTCCGATTGTCTTTAAATTTCACACATCCCAATATTTTTATTATCCCAAGGTCTGGTGTTAAAATGAAATATATCGGTCCACTCCTTCTGGTACCTTCCCAACAAAATGTCAAAATTTTCAAAGAAAATAATTTATTGCACAAAAAGAGAAAGGTTAATCCGATTTTGCTCCCACTTTGCGAATGCTAATATTTTTATCAGTCCTACGTCAAATGGACAATATGGGCCCACTCCATCAGGTACTTCACCCACAAAGCGTCAAGACAATCACATCCAAAAAATTTTATTAACCCAAGGTCTGGTGCCAAGGTGGAATATATCTGTCCACTCCTTCCGGTATCTCCCTCACAAAAAGGAGCTCATAAAATGTGGCGTCTTGGTATATTCGGTGGACACTCTTAGCTATTTTGCACCAATTGCCTATGGGGAACTTTCCGAATTCATTAGCATCAAAAGAGCGCTGATTTGGTAATCGCAAATTTGGAGCTTTGTATTCTTTTCATACACTTGAAAGTAAAGACGCGGCCGATTCCCATTGCGTACCTACATCGTTTCCATTGTTACATTATGGCCCTTAATTATACCCTCCACCTTGGAAAGGAGGATATATTAACTTTGTCATTCCGTTTGTAACATCCTTAAATAAAACGTCGTAGACCCCATAAATTGGTATTTGTTGGTCATAATGGGTTCCAGCTCCGGTGGCGAAACATTGCATGTACGGGTCCACGATTTGGTATAGCCCCCATATAACGGTACCTCCCGATATTCGGTATTTTGATGATTTATGCCACATTTTTTCACGGATTTTTTTTTTGAAAATTGGTATTTGTAGGTCATAACGGGTCCCTGTGCGTGTGGCAAACATTACATGTATAGGTTCACGTTTTGGTATAGCCCCCATATAAAGGTACCTCCCGATATTCGGTAATTTGATGATTTTTGCCACATTTTTTCACTGATTTGTCTAAAAATTGGTATTTGTGGGTCATAATGGGTCCTAGTTCGTCTGGCGAAACATTGTAATTATAGGTCCACGTTTTGGTATAGCCACCATATAAGGGTACCTCCCGATATTCGGTATTTTGATTATTTTTGCCACATTTTTTTACGGATTTGTCTAAAAATTGGTATTTGTTGGTCATAATGGGTTCCAGCTCCGGTGGCGAAACATTGTATGTATGGCTCCACGATTTGGTATAGCCCCCATATAACGGTACGTCCCAATATTCGGCATTTTAATGTTTTTGTCACATTTCTTCTAATATTTCCTTTACCCTAAGGTGGAGGGTATTAAAAGTTTGGCCCGGCCGAACTTAATGTTTTTTTACTTGTTTTTTAATAAAATTTAAAACCACGCCCTCTCCTTGATTTTTTTTTTTTTTTTGAGTTGCAACCTGTTTTTTTTTTTTTTATTTTCAAATTCAAGTACGATTCACAGGGCAATTTGTAACCAAATTACGATTACGACAGATTAAGTTTTCACGATCAAACCATTGTGAAATGGGACATCGTTGCGATGTTACACGTCCATTTTGACAAATGTAGTAACGGCCACAGTGACGGCTATCTGTGAGGAATACACCATTCGGTAAAGACAAACAATCATCGCGACTCACCAGATTGAGAGCATAGCGAAAGAAATTTACACGTGTAGTAGTAGTGGCTGCAGGTGTAGAGCATGTTGTTGTATCCTCAGTTATCTTATTACAATCCAAGCTGAGGCCCAGAAATATCGTTGAGAACAAAATAATCACGGAAAATGACAATTCTACAGGGAAATATATAGATTTTCTTTTTTAAAGAGGAGAGAATCAATTGCGTTATAAAAACGACTCTTACTCAACTTCATTGTATTCCTCGCGTGATGCAATGTTTGATTACAAATTACCATTTTCAAATGAAAATATGGTTCTTCTCTTGTTTTAAATCGGAAATTAAATTAAAAACGTTTATAGAATAGGGCGTTGGTCTAATAGGTTACATACAATGTTGCAAGACAAGTAAAATAGATGGAGTTCGGCCGGGCCGAACTTAGTGTACTCTCCACAATATAATTACAATAAGATGAGGTTGGTTTCTTTATCCACATTTGGTCCTTCGAGCCGCATAAACTTGAAACTACTCCTAAACTGAGCGGATGGTATTTTTTCTCAACATTTGGTCATTCGATTATTCGCATTTATGAAAGTGGAAGGAACAGGAGGCGGGAAGTATATAAATGCATTAAGATGACAGAAAAATGAATGAGAAGCAGAAATACCACGTCGCGGAAACAAAGAGAATCAAATAATGAAGGACTTATTTGAAGACGAACCACTAAAGAAAAAAAAGGAAGACGGAGGAAAACCAAGAAAAATGTAAAATCTGACAACTAGATATCAAGCCGAGGTGAATTATACGAAGTTCAATGTGAGTACGCCGCCGCTGGTATCCAAAAAATAGAAAAGCATTTTAGTGGAAATAAAGTGCAGTTGGCACTATATACAGGGACCCATCGACGGCAATGGCACTATATACGACGGACCCATCTGGCAACGCCATAACTTTTGACAGAGATGTCACATCGCTTAATGACATACCGCGTTTGAAGCGTCAGTCAAAGCAGATTTTTACCATGAACCAATACACGCCACGCGAGCGCTCTGAAATAGTTGAAATTTACATTCAACAGAAGAAGTCAATTGTGAAAACTCGACGTGCGTTTAAAACATTAAAAATGTGAGAAGTGCGCCTTCTATGAACACCATTAAGCGTTTATACGAAAAATTTTCGACTGGTAAGGCTCTTTCTAATCCGAAGAGGCCATATAAAAGTCGACCAAGGCGATCGGCCGAGAATATCGCTGCCGTACGAGCCAGTGTTGAGAGGTCCCCAAGAACATCCCAAAAACGCCGTTCTCAGCAGTTGGGCATGGCTCGGTCCACTTTACAACGGATTATTCGCATTGATTTGCATTTGTTCCCGTACAAAATTCAATTGACGCACAGAATGTTGTCTGCGGACAAGCCTCGTCGATTGGAATGGGCCCAAAAGGCCCATAGGTCCGTCGAATATGGGCAATCCTGTAAAGGTTTATTTATTATAGAGGCGGGAATATTAAATGCCATTATAAAGCGAGAAGGTTTAAAATCAAGTTCTTTTTTGCAGAAAAGGTTCAAAAGTTTGTAATACCAAATGTGGAAGCAGATGATTATGCTCAGAAAAATAGTAAAAGAAGGTGTAATAAACAAAATTGCAGAATATCTCTCCGAACTAATGAAATTCGATGCTGAGTAGAATTATGAAAAAAAATAGTATGTTTCTCTAAGGCGAACTTCGACTATTTTAATAATATTCTTCAAAAATCGAAGATCATTACTTTGGAAAACGCCAAAGAGGTGGAATTCATGAAAGAAGGACATAAGTTCCTTCTTAATACCAATTTAAGACAAGTAAAAAAGCTGTAAGTTCGTTCGGGCCGAACTTTGAATACCCTCCACCATTTGGAACGAATTTGGCAATTCTCAAAAACACTAAATTCCGTTAAAAAAAAGTCTTAGAAATACCGGATGTAGCCGTTAAATTAGGGTCAATACGACGACATGGACCTGCATAGGTAACTTTTGTCATAAGCCATTACAATATTCAAATGCGAAACTTAGAAAAAATCGATGAATAATGTCGCTAAAATCATCAAAATACCGAATATCGGGGGGTAACGTTATATGGGGGCTATACGAAGACTTCAAATTACGAACTTCAAATATCAAATTTGAAACAGTTCCGGTAAATAATGTCTCTAAAATCATCAAAATACCGAATATCGGGGGGTAACGTTATATGGAGGCTATACGAAGGCGTGGTCCTGCACTGACAATTTTCTGCCATAGGCTCCTAGTATCACGAACTCAAATACCAAATTTGAAACAATTCCGGTAAATAATGTCGCTAAAACATCAAAATACCAAATATCGGGATACCGTTATATGGGGGCTATACGAAGGCGTGGTCCTGCGTCGCTCAATTTCTGTCATAGGCTGTAGTATTCATTACGAACTTCAAATACCAAATTTAAAATAGTTCCGCTAAATAATGTCTCTAAAATCAACAAAATATCAAATATCGAGAGGTACCGCTATATGGGGGCTATACGAAGACGTGAACCTACATCGCTCAATTTCTGTCCTAGGCTGTAGTATCCATTACGAACTTCAAATACCAAATTTGAACCAACTCCGGTGAATAATCTCGCTATAATCATCAAATTACCGAATATCGGGAGGTACCGTTATATGGGGGCTATAACAAAACGTGGACCTACATGGCCCATTTTCAATACCAAAAGTCCTGCAGTCGAGAAAAATTTTATCAATCTACTTCAAGCTAGAGCTACTCGGAAGCTAGAGTGATTTCCACAGACGGATAGACGGACGGACATCGCTAAATCGACATTGAATTTTATGCTGATTAAGAATACAGGGTGAGCTGAAAAAACTACAACCAATTTCAGACTGCTGTCATTTCTGAGCCACTCGTCTGCTAAAATTATTCCAGTGACAGCTCATTATATTGTTTACAAGTGTACAAAACCATTTAGGTGAGAATTTTCCAGAAAATAAGTTATTCGTGATGGAATTCAAGCGTGATTTCTTTATGTTTGGCTGGAAAACCACAAGTGGCTATCGTTAGAGCACTCCAGCATTTAAATGTGAATATATCTTTTGTGTCTCGTACAATCGCTCATTACCATGATACTGGTAGCGTAGTCCGACGTCAAGTGGATGGAAGAAAACAACAACATCAGCAGAAATGATTCGAAAAGTAAAGAAGCGACTTGATCGAAACCCGCGTCGCAGTGGCCGAAAATGGCTCGTGAGCTGAACATATCGCAATATTCCATTTGTCAAATATTGAAAAATGAGCTCGGGGCAAAGCCATAGAAATTCCAAAAAGTGCAAGAACTTACACGGCAACAGAAAGAAAATAAACTCAAAAGAGCTTAGGAGTTGCTTCGCTTGGCCGAAATTGGTGAACTGCCGAATTTGGTTTTCTCCGATGAGAAAACATTCGTTGTTTGGCAGTTTGTAAATAAACGAAATTATCGTGTTTACTTGCCAAAGAGGTCAGCTGGAAATATGCACCTTCGGTTGGCCACCAGAACTCAAGCGTCGGCCATGGTGATTATGTGGGCCGCTATAACAGCCGATGGTCGCTCTCTGCTCGTATTAATCGTCCGTGGCATCAGAATAAATGTCGAATATTATCGCGAAAATATTCTGGAGGCCTTGGGCACGCAAACATTTTGGACGTCAAAGGTGACCAATTCGAGCAAATCTAAACTTATTCTAAAATTTGATGCTATTTCCGACATTTTTTGCTTTCATTCAATAAAATTTAAAAAAGAATGTAAAAATTATGGCTTTTGAATTTTTTATCTCACCCTGTTATATAGAAGCTATATCCAAATCTAAACCGATCTTGACAAAATTTCAAACACTTATTTCAGAGCAGTAGCTGGTATCTGGTACCAGAGATTATCGTTGTGGTGTGTATGTTACGCATGCGAGGGACTTAAAAAATCCCAAATCGGATGAAACATATACATGGGAGCTATAGCTATATCTGAACCGATTTCAAACAAATTTCAAGTACTTGTTTCCAGGATCAATTCAGCCAGAATTACCGAGATTCACTTCATTTGGGCTGATATTAGCCATTTGGAGCACAATAAATCTGATATCGGATAAAGATATGTATGGGAGCTATATCCAAATCTGATCCAATGTCGATAAAATCTGACCGATGTATTTCTGGGCTGTATCTGATATCTGGTACCAAATATCATTCTTGTGGAGCGCATGTTACGAATGTGAGGGACTTAAACACCAAGTCGGGTGAAGCATATATATGGAAGATAAAGCTATATCTGAACCGATTTTCACCAAATGTTATGTAGTAAATTCGGTCGGATGTGCCAAAATTCAGGTCATTTGGACTGGTATTGGCCATTTGGTGCACAAGTACTTGAAGATCCTCAAATGTAACTATGGGTCTGTCTCGCACAAAAACATAATACCCTTACCACTATGTGGTCTAGGTTATAAAAATCTCCAGGGCCCATTTGACATATTTTTCAACGAAATTATATAAAATTTGGCATATTGAGATCGCAATACGCTTTTCATACATTTGCAGGTACAGCTATGCATTACAAACCCTCGAATCAAACTAATTGTCAAATAAACTCCTCCCGAAAAGGAGTAGGGTATGGAAATTTTGTTATCTACATGTTTTCTAACAAAAACACATGCCAAATGTTCGCTGTTAACAGACCCTGTTCATATAAAAATGAAAATATTTGAGAAAACTATTTGACATTTGTTTAGATACGCTGGTTGACGATCTTTATAGCTTATAATGGAACTCGGTAAGATTATTTTAGAAACTAGAATAAAAAATAATATATTTTCATTTTCATGCAGGATATAATATATTTTCAGTGTTACTTCTATTATTTGCCATTAACCTGAGCAATGCCAGAGATTGTGGAATAAATCCCATAGATTCATTTCACATAGAAGTCCCCACAACGACATCAACAATTTCAACAACAACAACAACAACGACAACAGTATCCTCTATCACATCGACGACCACCGAATCCACCACTACAACCGTGACCCAATCCTCAACATCATCGGTTTCCGTTGAAACAACGACAAGTGGAATGCATAGCTGTGACACCACAACAACTTCTTTATGTATCGCTACGACGACAACAACCACATGGGAATGTGATTCGAATACCAATACTCCGCCTTCAAGCTTTGCGGTTCGTGTATTTTGGACCCATCAAGATTGTGTTAATTTGAAAGATGACACGTTTTTGGTGGATCCCAGACACTGTCGCCGTTATTACATTTGTCACAAT